AGAGTGGCAGAGATGGGAGAGGAGCAACACCAGAGCTTTGCAAAGGGAACACCTGCCAGATCAATCTCCAGGACCTGTGGAAAACATTTTCCAGCTGAGCTGTGGGTCCATCTACTCCTGTCTTCCAATCACTGACCTTTCAGCCACAGCCAGGAGCTGCTCTGGATGGAAGGTCCCCTCTGTGTCCATGGATGTGGCTTTTCCCTCACTGTCACCATGGTCTATGGGGAGCTAAAGGAGAAGAAAAGGATTGAACAGGGAATAAAGTATCCATAAGTACAGCAGATATGGCCACATGATATCACTGACGTCATAGAACAAATAATACCCCAAGATATTGTGATTAAATTCCGTTTTAGCTGGTATCCATAAGTACAGCAGATATGGCCACATGCCCTCACTGAGGTCATATGACAAATAATATCCCAAGCTATTGTGATTAAATTCCCTTTTAGCTGGGAAAAGCAAGAGGAAACATTCCTGGTCCCCATCTCTGACACGTTCCCTTTGCAGTACCTGTCACCCTGGAGTGCCAGAACAATGGAGAATGGGTTCCCACTGACACAGGGCAGGGACAGATGGCATCTTGGGAAGAAATTCTTTCCTGTGAGGGGGCTGAGGCACAGGGTGCCCAGAGAGGCTGGGGCTACCACTGGATCCCTGGCAGTGTCCAAGGTCAGGCCGGACTGGGCTTGGAGCAAGCCGGGATAGTGGAAGGTGTCCCTACCTGTTGCAGTGGGTGGAGCAGGATGAGCTTTTAAGGTCCCTTCCACCCCAAACCATTCCAGCATCCCATGGCTCCAGCTCTGGCGGGGCCCTGCCGGAGCCAGCAGCACCTCCTGGGTCCCCCAGCCCGCGGTCTGGAGTTCCCCGCATTCCCCGCCCGGGGTCCCCTCCCGGTGCCCAATGCCAGCCCTTTGTTCCGTGCCCCTCACGGCGGCAGACTTGTCACGATCCTTTGCCAAAGCTACCTCTCCAGCTCTCCCCCTTGACAGATCCCTGGGGCTGTGCCGGCCCTTTCTGAGCCCCTGGCCTGAGCTGACACCCTTTGCTTTGCACCAGGGGCCACCCCAGCGATCACTCCCACTAGAATATCCCCCCCACTCTGGGTGTGTGGCTGCTGGAAGCTGGGAGATGCCTCGGGGTTGGATTTTTGGAAGGGTGATTGGGATTTAGCACCTATTGCAAGCACTTGAGGAACTGCATACGTTTGTACAAAAATGCTGATTTGTGCCCAGGGCTGCCTAAACACCCATTCCAGGGCTTCTTCCTTCTTTCTCCATTACCATTCAGTTAAACTGGAACCTCTGGCTATTGCAAGCACTTGAGGAACTGCATACGTTTGTACAAAAATGCTGATTTGTGCCCAGGGCTGCCTAAACACCCATTCCAGGGCTTCTTCCTTCTTTCTCCATTACCATTCAGTTAAACTGGAACCTCTGGGAGATGGAAGGCTCCCACAGAGAGCTGGAGGATTGCAGGGAGAGCCGAGTTCATCAAATCCCACTTGACCTCTGGTTCTTCAGCTCCTCCACACAGATCCCTCAAAGGCCCAGGAGCTGGGGACCCGGAGCAGCAGGAGCTGGGGCTGGCAGGACTCTGCTGGTTGCTCCTCGTGGTTCAGCCCTGTCTGCAGCTGAGAGCAGGCAGGGGATGGACGCGGTTTGCTGGCAGGCAGGTGCTGTGCCCCGGCAGGATTTAATCAGCAACTCCAGTCGCCTCCTGCTCCTTGGGGTGTCCCGAGGTGACCTCACAACCCAGAACTAACACCCAAGCTGGGAGCTACCATCCCATGGATCCCTGCCTTTGGGAGAGCCCATTTCCCACCTCTGAGAGCAAATGTATTTTTCTGCCCCTCATTTGCAGACCCTGAACAATGAAGCTCCAGCTCTAGCGAGAGCTCTGGAGCTGTGTTAGCACAGGAGTTGGCAAAGGAAGTGGTGGGAACAAGGACACTGCACAGTCCACAGGCAGGAGCAGAGGGAGTAGAGAGGCAGGGAGCAAGGGGCTCCTCCCTGAGCAGGCATTTAATGCATCCTCTGGTCATTTTTCCAAGTGATACCTGCTGTGCACAAAACAAAGATAAGGTGGCCAAAAGCAAATCTCCATCACCGAGTCAGTGCCAATGTCCTCTGACCTGAGGCAACTCTGCTGATTCCAGCTCTGCTCCTCTCCATCCCACCTGGGTTATTTCCAGCCATCCATGAGCAGGGGTCACTTGTCCCCTTGGTAAGGACAGCCCACAGCCAGGCCCAGCAGTTCTGTGCTTGCAGAGGGATGCATCCAGCTCTGTTTCATGCCTCCTGTGCATCCTCCTGGGAAATGCGGCAGGCCCTGGGATTCGGGTTCCCAGCCATGCCCGGCCCGGGTTCGCTTTCACCTCGGTCCCTTGGGTTTCTGTCCTCACAGCAAATCCTGAACTGCACCCCAGATGACATCCCAGGGCTCCTCACCCAGCTCCAGAAGGCAGCAGAGGCATTCCCACAGCCCAGAAAAGGGAGGCAGAGCCAGAAGAAAGGGCCAGCAGGAGCAGTGCAGCAGCTGGAACAAATGGGGAGCACAGGGGGGCACGGATGAAGATGGGGGGACACCTCAGCTCCTGGTACAGCAGGGCTGGATCGATGCCACGGAGCAGCCACAGATCCAGACCCAGCAGCTCGGGAGGTGCCGCTGCTCTGGGGCACCTCTGGCAAAGCACACGGAGCCTCTGGCACACAGAGGGAGTTTGCCTTTCCCTGAGCCCTTCATTTTCAGTAGTTCTGGTCTCAACACCCATTTCTGCTATGCCTTCTGGACAGCAGGGAGGTGGAACCTTCCCAAAAGGGGATGTTCTCACCAACGTGTCCTTCTCTGCCCCTTCTCCTGGCAGAGGGAACACTGACCCTCTGAGCAAGACCCCGAGCGAGACCAAGTTCATCAACTGCTTCCAGAAAACCAAACGGGCTTTGAACCTCTTGGTGAGACATGGAGGAGTTTCCATCCCATGCAGGGATAGGGCTTTTCCCAGTGTATCCCAGCAGTGAGTGTTCAGAGGGAAATTAGAACAGAAAACACTGCCAAGGGACAAAGGTGTGAACTCCAGGTTCTTCAGAACCCAGGACAAACATTGTGTCATGTTACTACACAAATGGCCTGGGATTTCATGGGCTGGGGGCTGCACCTTACCTGGTCCATCAGCATGTGCAGTCACAGAAGCCTGGGGATGGCTGAGAGTCACCTGAGCTGAGGCTCTAGCTCAGCTGAGCAGATGAACACAGTCAGAGTTACATGGTTAAATACTTTTCACTGTTAGCCATAATCCAGAGCCTTGGCCAATTCCTGTCATGGCTGAGGGCCCAGGGGCCTGAGCTAAAGCCCACAAGGGAAAGGGCCAGAGTGTGGTGTAGCCTGGGCAACATAACTCAGCTCCCAAAATAACATAGCAAGCCTATGTGACATCTCTGGGGTACCAGAGCCCTTTGAGGGACACAAATCAAATCAACAACTACCCCAGTGTGTAACTCTCATAGTTCAAACTCTATACAGTCAAGACATTTTGATTTTCCCCTTCCCTTTCTATTATTGAGAAAGCGTGCAAAGGAAAAAAAAACCCAGTTTTCAAGTGAGCCAGCTTTTCTAAAGAACTGGATAGGTGAAGTCACACTAGTTACACCAATTTAATGTGAAATTAAAGCTTTCTGCAGGTCTTTTATAAACCAGTATCAATCCTGTTGCAGTGTTGATTCTTCTGTTAAACAGGAAAAAAAAAACCTATCCCTCACAGCTATGCAGGTTCTCTATGCAACACACCAGAACTGTCTCCTCTGTCCCACCAAACCCAGCCACACACACAGAATAGTGACAGCAGCTGTTTAGAAACAATCCTGTCTCAATGAACTGTTTCAGGACTGAAAGGTCACCCTCCTTCAAACCCAGCTACGTTTGTGATTCAGCAAAAATGTCACTGTTCTCTGTGTTTGTTTTTATTTCAGTTCCCCTTTCAGACTCCCTGCCTCTGCCATGGAATGCTGCAAACACCCCTGGCACTGATGCCTCAGCCTCTTTAGGCTCTTTTTTAATGGCTCTTTAAGTAACAGCCTCAATCTCACAGCTTCCCCCATCTTACAACTTGAATAGTGAAAGATTAATGTGTTTTCAGTATTATTTTTACTCTGTTAAATGACTGAATTTATATGAAGATTAGAGGCAGATGAGTTTTGCACTGACAAGACTATTCAGACAGCTATAACCAAAGTGAGTTTACCAGTTTAAATATGGATCAGGTTGTCCTTCACTGGTTAAAGCAAGTAATTATACCCCGAAGCCTGACTTAGTACAGTAAAAGCTGAGGGAAATAGAATAAATCAAGCCCATAAATACCATCAGCTGCTAAGCTACTGAAAAAATTTCCAAGTGACATAATCTTGCCTCCTCCAGATGTGCTCTCTGCTGTGAATGGTCAGGGGTTGCCTCTGTTACTATGAAAAGGTCCCACCTACATCAGGCCTGTTTTTTGTCCCCATTGCTCAATCGTTCCCAAGTGTTCTTGAATACCTGCGCCTCGCTTTTGCCACATCTTGCCCTGACACAGCCACTCAGTGAGAAAAGCTTTGAAGTTGGCTCCAGCCCTGGCTTTTGTTCACAGCTCCAAGGCCCTGTGGAGCCTGGCACCAATTAGGGAGCAGGTAATTAATAAGTCTCTCTCAGAGAAAGAGAGATTTCTGGCACTGGGAAGGGCTTTTCCTCTTAACTGAAACCAGCTCACTCCTTCAAATCAGTCATTTTAAAGCCTGGTATTGTCCTTCACACCCACTGCAACTCTTCTGACCAGCACCAGCACATTTCCGTTATTACAGACTCACCCTCCTAGGACAGAAAAAAAATCTGCAACACTGCAAACAAAGACTCTGAGTCAAATCCACCAGGACCTCCCCAGAGCTCTGGCTGATAAAGCTTTCAGCAGCTCCAGCCAAGACTTAATGTCTGGCGAACAAAATGTTCTGGAAAAATGTCGTGCCTTCTATAAACACAATTTCCTGGCAGATCCGTCCTGTTTGTTTTAAAATCTGGAGAGGCTGACTCAGCCTGGCTTCTACAGGAGCTAAGGGAACACGATGGATTGAGGGGAAGGTGGAAGGAATGGAGTGTGGGGAGGGGAGAGAGAGGGGCAGAGCTGAGCCCCACGTGGCCCCCGGTGCTGCATGGAGCCGCTGCTCCTGCCCAGCTGCTCAAAGTTTATGTACACATTGCCCACATCCTGCAGTCTGTTTTTGGTGCCCAGGCAATTTTCCAGCATGTCTTTTGTGGGCAGGGAGCTGTCAGTGCTGGTGACAAATTGCCGCGGGGCATTCCTGCCCAACAGGCAGCATTTTTGCTCCTCTTTTGGCAACACTGTCCAGCAAGACTCCTTGGATGTCCTTGGGCTTCCCTGGCATGCCAAACATGCTGAACAAGCCCAGGCAGTCCCGGCCCACCAGGCGGCAGAACTTGGCCAGCTTCTCACAGCTGCTCGTGTTCTGGAAGCACTCATCAGCCAGTGTGGCCTCCCGGCAGCAATCCTTGGCAGGGCCGTCACCATGGAAGAGCTCAGCCAGCCGCAAAGCCTGCATGGCGATCTGCATCTTGATCTGCTTGTCAGACCCACACAGAGTCCAGATCCAGTCCACTCCAAACAGGGAAGACTGCTGCTTGGTCATTTTGCTGGTCATGATCCGCTTCTCCATGCCCTTTCCCACGCAGAAGACGATGAAGTTGACCAGGAAGATCTCGCTCAGTGTGTTTGTGGCTGGCTGGAATTTGCTTTGAGGATCTACAAAACCCAGATAATCCCTTCAGCCTTTGAGATGCATGGAACACACCCTGGCTGAAGACTTCACAGATGACCAGCATTTCAGCCTTGTTCTCCTAGTTGTCCTCCTGGGAGACCTTCTAGCCCATTTTCTCATTGTGGAGGTAATTTCCACATGCAGACTGCCTCAGGGACAAACCTTTATTTTCTAGCAAAGGCTTTGCAGGTGCTGGGCTCAGCCAAACCTATTCAGCTGCACATGGATACCTGCAGCCTTCCCAGTGAAGGTGGTGGCAGAACTGAGCTCTGTGTGCCCACGGGGCAGCCGGGCTTTCTCCTGGGTGTGTTTTTCCACAGCTGACTGAGCAGTGACCAGCCCAACAGGTCCTGTAGCTTTCACACTTAGTGAATTCATCTGTGCTTGTTTTCCTTATTGTTAATTCTGGCACCATTTCTTTGGCTGATGTTATCTCATTCCAGTATGATCTTATCTCCTTGGATCTCCTTTCTAGGACTATTGCACAGAAACCAGTTTTTTTGCACAGGGTGTTGCCTGGAGATAAAACCACCTTTTTCTTTTTATCTCCCAGACAAGGGAGATTAACACTTGGGACCAGAGAGAGTCTCTTTCACAGCAAGAAGGGACAGAGCACCTTGGAGGGCTCCCTCTGGAGAACACATACTGAGCAATGATCATGTAACTTCTCACCACACCAAACAACCCAAGATGGTTCAAATCTGGATCCCAGAAATAACTAAAAAGTCTTGATATAGTTGATTTTTTAGCTGTTAGTCAAGCCCTGCTAAAGGCACTACTGACAAACTAATTAATGAGTCAACAAAAAAATGTGTGATTTTGCCCCTTTTCCCTCCATTGTTTTTTGAATAGAACAGAACAACCTTCCATGGAAAATTAAAAGGAAAAAAAAGAGAGGACGTGAAAAAGGAAACCGGCTTCCAGAAACACTTGGCATTTTCCACAGACTTTATTGGATTTCACATGGTAATACACAGCAGTTACACTGCCCTCTCCAAAGAGGCACCAATTAAATACCTCGACGGTATGGACAGTGTGCACACACGCACCTAAAAACCTCCTGACTTCATCGCCTCTCTCGTGTCCTCACCCTGTAAGAGAACCAGGGCCCAGATGGCAGCTCCGAGGGGATGACCTGGCTGCCAGGAAACTGTTGTTTGGAGCAGAATGCTGCTTACACTGCACTTCAATAAATGATCATAAATGATCACTGCCCTCACTAGTAACACTCCAGAGAAACTGGAGAGTGTTTGTGGCTATTTCAGGACACAGTAGTGTGCCACTGGCTCCCTTTTCCCCCCCTGTGAATACCCAGTCCTGTCCAGCAGCCAGTGACTAGTGAGAGCCATCCAGAGGAACACTTTGTTTGGAAGCCTGTACCACGTTTCCCAATGCTTCCTCAGAGTTTTATGTTCAACTTCCATGTAAATAATAACAATATTGCAGAATATTCACAGAAAGGGAGGCTTGAATCCACATCCCAAGCATCTGCACCCTAAACCTTCCCACATTAAATTTTGCATCTTGGTACATCAACAATCACCTACACTTTACATCCTTCAAAGGTCCATGTTACCAGCTTACATCATTCTAATGCTGGAATATGCCTCTGATCCAACAGGAGCTCCCTGAAAATCCTGGGAAGAACCTTTCTTCCTTTCCTAGCTTTTTTAACAGTGTTTCAGAAACACCCCCAAAGTCAGCACAAACCCCAAATCCCCTGCACGACACCAGGAATGATCTCACTTCCAGCAAGGAGAGCGACAAAACGAGTGACAAAAACTTGGAAAAGCAACACCACCGCAAGGAGCAATTCCAGCTGGACTTTTGTTTGCCTTTTACAGAGCAAAGGAGCTTCATGCCATTGTGCTAAAATACATGCAACATTCAACACCATACAAATGACCACTGGAATAAAAAGTTACTTTTCTTTGTGTGCTTGCTTTTGGCTAGGACACCTTGCAATACTGGAAGTCTGACACAAGATTCCCACTGGCTAGTTAAGAATTTTAAAACCTGATGATCCTCAAGAGCAGAGGAGCTGTGCTTTAAGAAGGTAAATGACAAGCAACACATTTGATATTTGAATTTTGGAGGAAAAGTCTCACCTTAGGCTTAATAACATGAAATAATATATTTCCTATACATTTCTCTATATAACTTTATTTTTTTTTGCAACTACACCATCTTCATCTTAGTCACAGCACAGAAATATCCCTTCCATATGCAGGGAGTACTTTCAACTTTAAGGAATTTTTTTTTGAGTCATGGAAGTGTTAATAACCTTGTTGAATGCTAACTACTAACTAACTAACTACTGCTGCTGGGGACAAGAAAGAAGACATTTTAAAATGTGCAGTTCCTGGATGAGTCACTGCTAGAAGAAACATGCTTTAGAATAGTTTAATCTCAAATGAAAGATCATTAAACTGTACACTCAGTAAAAAGCAATGAAAGCAAACAGTTCCAAAGGTCAGCCTGCCTTTCCCAGTAACCAGCTGGTCTGCAAACTGGCATAATTTTTTTACAACCTTCTCCCCTTCCCTCGCACACCTTCAACTTTCTATCACTCTATCTCACAAAATTTAAATTTTTGCTTTTATATGTACTTCGTAGACTTATTTTTTATATTTTTTTCTATTTATTTTTTTAATAAAACAGTATAAAAATAGAAGCAACAGTCAAGAGCTACCAGGGAGCTTACAGAGGGCACGGATGACTGAAATCCTACATTGGATAGGGCTGAACTGGTGTTTGTGCCAAAGAAAAGCACTTAGAAAAGAGAAGTAACTTTTATTTTTCAGCTGCGAGCACAGAGAGAGCTGATGTGTGCTACCTACAAACGCAACCCTTTCACCTAACACCTTCTGTTCTTTTCAAACAGTATAAAGGATTATCTGAGGCCAGGAATAAGCATAAGGAGCACTAGCATACCACATCAATTTCAACGCAACACTCTGAAACATATTACCAGTTTGTACATTAAAAAGAGTTAAAACTATTACCATTCACCAGTGTCTGGGTGGTTTTCATGGCAGCTTAAGTAGGCACCTTATTTTTTCTCCTTTTCTCTTTAAAATTCTCCACCCCTCACTGTTACTTCTAACAAACAGAAGCAAGAGCAATGTAAAGAACATGATCTGCTGCCCATCATGTGGAACAGGGATGTCCTTGCACGCAGGAGAATGAGCCTTTGTCAGTGCCTGGTGGTGACTGTCACACATTGGAGTCCTCATCTGTTATACTGGTGCTAGGAGAGCGAGTGGCAAAGTCTTTGAACATTTCATCTTCCTTCAGCATGTGCTGGTAAGGGAAGGAAGGAAGAGTCAAAGTTTCTCAAAACTGGAGTCCGTCACCTGTCCTGTGCTGGGCAGCAAACACTGCCTGCCACTCACTGCTTTGTTCTGCTGACGGAAGTTTTCACCCACCCTGTTGCAAAACCAGCTCACTGCTGTCTGCTGGCCCCAGTGGCTTGAGCTTTCCACCCAGCAAATGCAGCCTGACTCCCAGCTGGAAACACACTGACCATGGGCAATGGGGCTGTGTCCTCTGCCCTCCCCGGTGTGTGGGGAGCCAGCACAGGCCACCAAACCTACCCACCAGGATGGGCAGGTACCTTCCTGAACCACTGGGTTTTTTTGTGCCCTCTGTCCCTGCAGGAGACCCAAAGGACCTCATTGACACTGTTTAACATGAGTGACTGCCAAGGGGTTTGCACCCATCCCACAGAAACAGAGACCTTACTGCACAGACCTCATTCACAGACTTACTGTCAGGTTGTTGATGCCTTCAGAAAATGCTCCTATTTGCCTCACCGTCCCTTCTGAATCTTCCATCTATATAAATCAAAATGAATAATGAATTAATAACAACTTATTTGTATCATAGCGTGGAATCATATAATGCATTGGGTTGAAGAGACCTTAAAAATCATGTCAGTGCAATCCCCTGCCATGGGCTATCCCAGGTTGCTCCAAGCTCTGTCCAACTTGGCCTTGGACACTGGCAGGGATGGGGCAGCCACAGCTTCTCTAGGCAACCTGTGCCAGGGCCTCACCACCCTCACAGGGAAGAACATTCTTCTAACTTCCTAAACCTCCTGAGATTCAAACCCACCCTCTGTCAGTATGAAGCTACTCTCCCTTGTCCTGCTAGGACAGAGTGACAATTAAGTGCAGCACACAATTTACTGATTACACCTGAGATGTTCAGACCAAGGGAGAAGCATGGCCTGTAAGGAGAGGAGAGTTACTCCAGAGCGGGCCCTAAAGATGCTGCATTCACAGCTTCAACCTCCTTGGAAGCAGACCCTCTTGTCACTAATGCTGTGTGACAGCAAGAAGTCAGGGCCTTCACAGGCCAAAGCAAAAGGAAGACTTCCCTGGGAAATGGAAGGTTTTCCCACCAAACCTGACAGCTCAAAGACTCAGAATTGTTAGAAGTGGCTTACCTGCTCTAGCCTGTCCAAATCATCATCATCATATACTCGGATATCCAGGCCAGGCTTAAAGCCCTTCTTCGATGCACTCCCAGATGCCCGCCCCAGCTCCATAGAACACACATACTCCTCCACATCATCCTGCTTCTTCTTCCTCAGGTTCCCAAAATTGCTGAAGGTAAGTTTCTTTGGCTTAAAAGTGAAGAGAAATTTTCCAAGGAATTAGAGAATCAACAAAGAACAGGCCTACTCGTTCTCTCCTGTTTCCATGACAAAAGGTCAAAACCCCAGTGCTCTACTACACAGATCATCTGAATTTCATGACAATGGCATCTGAAAGGACAAAGTGCCCTCTCATTCTACTACTGTTAAGACACCACCATTTAACTGATCCCAAATGAGGTGAAAATTTCACATTAAACCATGAGTGCGTAAACAGTAAGGAACAGTCTCCCTCCCAAACATCTCTCAGTACAAACAGGACAACACGAGTGCTACCCCTTGTCTCTGCAGGTCAGAGAGGCTAAGAAGTGGCCTGTTCATGGTAGACACAAGTGTCAGCCCCAAATCTCCCAGGTCCTGTTCTCATACTTCTTTCCTTAGGAACCAACCCCTTTTCTCAGACCTTACTGATGCACCCTCCCAGCATGGATAAAACCAGAGATCCAAATGCT